CCCCCCCCCCCATCAACTGGAAGAAACTGAGGCTTGGGGTGTTTGTGGGGAGGAAATGAAAGGGGGCAGATGGCCCAGAGGCGGCTGGGGATAGTACTAAGAATAGTATGAGAGGTGGTGCCCTCTGACCCTGGCTCAGGGGGAAGCCCTGCACAGAAGCCTGCTGTTAGCATAGATACTACCCTGTTTGTTCTGCAGCCCCGAGGGAAATGCTTAGAGGCTGAGGTCATGCTGCTTCTCTGCCTAATCCTAGCGGGGCCCTCCATGCACTTAGAGCAACTCAGCTGCCAGACACTGACCAGACTGGTCAGGAGTTGTGACTGGGGTAGCTTCCTATCTGCTGAGCCCCACACTGCTGCCCAACATGCGCTCCCAGGAGAAGATTCTAGATTAGCATCCATCCCCTTCCCAGAGCACAGCAGAGGGGTGAAACCAGAGAATCTCATCACCTACTCTTCTGTATCTCTCTCCTCCAGCATTTAATTTAACCACCTTATTTTGTTCTATCCCCATCTTGGGCCTTTGCTCCTTGGAGGACCCATTCCTCCCACCAGGAACCTATCATGGGGCAGGGTCCATAGCATCAGCATCAGCACGTACTTGGATAGAAGAATAATGCAGTTCTGAGCTCTACGGCCATCAATGACGGACAGCTCTTTGACCTTGCGGGAGGCCAGGTAGATGTCTTCAGTGGAGCCCAACTCTTTCTGCAAGCAAATCAGGTAGAAGAGTTGAAGTGTGTGTGTTACCCAATCTACTTCTTGCTGGCCCTGTAGGAACCACCCTTCTACCAACGTGGGAATGTTCCTGATGTGAAGGGAAGACAGAAACAGGAAGAAAACCAGGGGAGACAGGAAGGTGGTGAATAACTGACTCTAACAGGAATTGCCTAGACCTTGACTGGGGACTCACACGAGTTGGGGGATACAGTGAGAAGCTCCCTTTTTAGAGACTATTCTCTCTGGGAAAACCAGGGAAAGGTCTGCTCCAGTGGGAGAAGGTGTGCTTGAGACCTGTGGCTTTGGTCAATGTGACATACACATTGTCATAGTTTCCCACGAAACAGCCCCCACTCAAATTTCCCTACCAAGATCCCCATCTACAAGCTTATGACAAGAAGTTGGTTCCAAGCCCCCAAAGGCCACATCTTCTGATTCTTGAGGACTTCAGATCTAGCCCCATGTGCAAGGGCAAAGAGTATCCATAAGTTCAAAGATGCAGACACTGAGGCAAAATTCCATGTGGAATTCTCTCATCTGGGATTTCAGCAGGCATATTCTCAAGATATCAAAGATTCCACCCACTTCCTTCTGTTAAGTCTCCAGTGAGGTAGAAAGGAGATTATGCAGTACACTGTCCTTACTCTGAAATATTTGTCCAAGCACAGGCTGTGTCACACAACTCCAGGGGTGTGGCGTTGCCACTGTGTTGCATTGCCACTGATAGCAACACTTTTTGTGAATTGTGCCCCCGCAATTGGGTAGTGCCTCACCTGTACACCCATATAGGCCTTGCCTTACGTCTAGTGGGTAAGACAACAGACCTAGAAGCCTTCTCTTACTTCAGTAGATATTCATATCCACTTCCAATTCACACTAGCAAGGGTCTGCTCGAATTACTCTCATCTCCTACATTTCTTCTCTCTATGGGGACCCTTCCCCATGCCATGAATGGGTAATAAGGCAGAAGACAGAATAAACAAGCCTTTTCTGTTGGGCCCAAAATAGGCCAGCAACCCAGGATGGTGGTTAAAAGTTGGAGTGTTCAGAGCCCCAAGAATGACTCACCTGCTGAGGAGGATTAGTTATCAGCTCCTAGGCACGTAGCAGTCACAGCCAACAGAGAATTAAACATGCATAACATTAGCCGAAGGTTTGGGGACCAGAAACAGCAGAACAGACATGGGGATCCCTCAGCAACTACCCTGCCCCCCTTTGCCCCAGTGAGATGCCCAGGGTCAGAGGCAGGACCCTAGAAGCAGCATTGGACAGGAGCTGCTCTGGCAGATACCCACTCAGAGAAGCCAAACACAGTGAAGAGCAGGCAGCAACTCCCACGTAAGCTGGGCCCAGCAGGATCACCATCCCCAGCTGGGGCACCCCTGGGCTCCCCCAGCCCAGGCCTGACTATTCTTCCCTGTCTTCTGCTAAAACAGCCAGCAGGGCAGAAGGAATTCATCCACCTCTGCCCCAGGATCAGAACATCTTTCTAAATAGGGAGGAGACACAAACAAACTTGAGCTGGAAGTACAAGAAAATGGTCCTCATTGAGGCAGAGGAAAGTAAGTGCCTGTGAATTTGCCTTGTTCTTTATCTGTTCTGATGTCTAAGGTGAACTGGGGAGGCCCAGCACACACTTGTGTTCTCTTTCCGACATTGATGGAGTTACAGCCACTAACTCGGAAGCTGCAAAGGGTGTAAAGGAAGAACCATGGCTCCCAGAACCTCGCCTGTCCCATGACCCACTTCCCAGGGCTCCAAAACAGGACAACACAGCCTCTGGAATGCCCTCAGTACCATGAATTCAATCCAGAGACTGAGCGGCCTGCTGAGGAATGGCAGTCATCAAGCAGGGGGCTGGACTGGGTGAGCTCAGAGAGGTGAGAGGGGATGCAAGAGGGAGTCTTTCAGTCTTAACGCTCCCATTCCCCAGGCTGGAAAGCCCCAGGCCCACTCTGTCCTAAACCCCATATGCCTCTTTCCTAATTGGCTTCTATCCCAGAATAGGTGGACTGAGCCAAAACCCTGGTCTGGAGGCAAACTCTCAGGCTGGGGGAGACGTGTAATTGCCATGTCTGACACACCCTCTGTACACAATCCCTCTGTCCTTGGCACCCATGCGGAAAGCCCTGATTCTCAGAAGCACAAATGCTCAGGGAATTCCTTCCAGTTCAGGCAGCCTTAGCTGCTGCCTGAAGTCATGCCAACTTGATATATACATGGGCCTAAAATGCTCCCTGGGATTAGGGGTAGAGAGTCAGATCTCAAGGAGACCAGGTATTTAAATTAAATAAGAAATTATCTGTTTTTTCTAGAACCCCAACACAGGGCCAGAGTTTGGCCCCCACTCCCACCCCTTTGGCCCATGCCCTAGCAAGTCTTATGTGTCCTTGGTTTTGTCTGTTCTCAAGAAGGCAGGAAGTAGGCCTGGCACTGTCCCCAGACTAGTGAGGAGCTAGATCACAACATCCAGCCACTGCCCAGGACCAAGGAGGTAGCAAAGCCCACTCATGGGCACCCATGGAAGTCCTCAAGGCTGGAATCCTAAGATGAGCTCAGCAAACCAGGAAGATGGTGACACAGCCCAGAGGAAACAGCTCCTCTGAGCGAGGTCAAAAAGAAAGCAAGTACCTTAAGGCCTCTAGGGTACTTAGAGGCTGCAAATTCCCAAACTGGACTTTGGGGGAAATCCTAGGTGTGCAAGTTACAATGCATATTTCTAGGCTCCAACCCATCTCTGAATTTGTTCATTTGAGATTGAGGTCCAGGAATCAGCATTTTTGGCACTCCCTGCAAGTACTCAGCATTGTTTGACTCCCCTATCTCAGGAATGTCACTAACCCACTCCGTCTATTTCCTCTGTGGCCAGAGGACTAGACCTTCTGGCCAGATATCTATACATTGAGCTATGGAGCAAAGCCATAGCCTCTGGGCTTCATAGGGTCCACCCCAGCTTACTCCCTGAAGGGACATGGAGCAGCATCCTCCTCTTTCATGCCACATGAACATCCTCCGCTCAATGGACTCATGGGAATGTCGCAAAATGAGACTATGGTGGAAAAGGGGACTGAAAAGTTATAATCCTTCCAGGTATAATTCCCTAAGTCCTAGGTCAAAGAGCAGGGGGTCATGAAAAGAATGACCATGCCCTGTGATTCTTTCC